CTTCCTTCCTTCCTTCCTTCCTTCCTTCCTTCCTTCCTTCCTTCCTTTCCTTCTTTCCTTCCTTTCTTTCTTTCTTTCTTTCTTTCTTTCTTTCTTTCTTTCTTTCTTTCTTTCTTTCTTTCAGATAAGTCTCACTGTATAGCCCAAGTTGGCCTGATACTCATGACCCTCATTACTTTGGTCGATCAATTAATGAGATTACTAGTGTGTATCACTATCTAGCTGCAAATTATAGAGTTATAAAAATCTATGTTAATTTTATATTATGAGAGGGAAGGCATTTGGAGATTTTACATGAAAGAATGACACTCTTCTTGTTTTTAAAGGACCTCTGTTATTGCTATGTGGCAAAAGCTCTTTTGTGCTGGAGAACATTTTCCTGCATCAAAGCATTCAAACTTTAAATAGAAATGTTGATTGTAACAGATGCAGGGAAAACTTCCATGAAGAAACAGGCTTTGTTCGACATAAAAGGACTCATACCAGAGATAAAAACTTTGAATGTCATGAATGTGGAAAAGTATATTGCAGGAAATCTAACCTTGTTGAACATTTGAGAACACATACAGGGGAGAGGACCTAAGAGTGTGGTGAATGTTCGAAGACCTTCATTGCTCATCAGAAAACTCACACAGGAGAGAGGCCCTTTGAATGTCATGAATGTAGAAAATCTTTTGGCAGAAAGTCACAACTCATTCTACATTGCAGAACACATACAGGAGAAAGGCCCTATGAATGTACTGAATGTGGGAAAACCTTTTCTGAGAAGGTAACCCTCACGATCCACCAGAGGACTCACACTGGTGAGATATCTCATAAATGTAATGAATGTGGTAAGACATTTTGTGTCAAGATATCGCTCACTCAACACCTGAAAATTCACAGAGGGACAAAACCCTATGAATGTGGGGATTGTGAGAAAAACTTACGTGCAAAGAAATCTTTAAACCAACATTGAAGAATTCACACAGGTGAGAAACCCTATGAGTGTGGAGAATGTGGGAAATTCTTCTGAATGAAAATGACTCTCAGTAATCATCAGAGAACCCACACAGGTAAAAAAACTGTATCATTGTAAGGAATGTGGAAAAGCTTTGCAGGTGCACTCATCTCTGGAAATCCATCAGACAATACGTACTGGAAAGAAGCCCCATGAATGTAATGAATGTAGAAATGCTTTCTATGTGAAATCCCATCTCATTGAGAATCAGCGTATGCATTCAGGAGAGAAACCTTATGAATGTAGTGACTATGGGAAGATCTTTAGCATGAGGAAATCCCTTCGTCAACACAAGAGAACTCACATTGGTGAGAAGCCTTATGACTGTAGTGAGTGTGGAAATGCCTTTTATGTGAAAGTGAGTCCCACTAAACATCAGCGAATTCATACAGAATAAAGGCCCTTTGAATGCTTGGAATGTGGAAAGGGCTTCTGTCAGAAAACCCACCTCACAGAACACCAGAAAACTCACTTGGGCTGATCCTTGCTTTGTGCATTGGAGAAAGCTTCTCCCTGAAGCTCACTCCCCACAATGGGTCAAGTCCCTGATCAAACAGAACATGCAAAGCACACTTGCTACAGTGTTGTACTTAGATTGGTATAAAAAAAAAATGTGTCTTGAGTCCTTTATTCTAACATTCCATCTCAATGTTGTTTGCTTTTTTTTTTTTTTTTTTTCTTGGAGATACTTTGTAGCCTTGGCTGGCCTTGGAGTTTTGCTTCAGTTTCCTGAGTGCTTTGATAACAGGTAGGCAAACTATCTGGCTGGCTGTTTTCATTTGTATTTCTCCATTTAGTGGTGAAGTTCAACATATTGTCTGATGATTAGCCTTTTGAATATGTTTTTCTTATGTGCATCAACTGCTGATATTCTTTACTCACTTTTCCAAATGAGATGTTTATCTTTTACTTTCTGGTTTAAATGTTGTCATTGGTGTTATTGTTTTATATGTAAGCATATAATGTCCTTCATTCATGTGTTACAATATCTTCTCTCAGACTCTAGCAGGTTCTTTAATTTTATTAACCCTTCTCTTGTCCTTAACTTTTATGTTTCAGTTATTGTCTGTTTTAAGGTGGATACTTATGTATAGTTTCCTCAAAAGTTAAGCTTGTCTTTAAACCTTTTGAACTTGAATCTACTGTGAGATATTTTTTGATATAGTATGGAGTCTGCAATGTATAATACTATATTGTCTTGTTAAATTTTTACAGAAATGGTGTTACATTGTAGGTAGAAGCTTAGCAGTTGGCTTGTTTTTCAAGTTTTCCTTCCTAAGATCTGTCCTTCCTGGTCACTATAGATCTTGTACCAGTTACTAAATTATGTTCTTACTGTTAAGCCCACACTTCTAAATTGTGCTTGTGACTCTAGATTATGCTTCTGCCTTATCAGTTGCTTCCTGTTGGAATTTGGCTAATAAGATACCGGATATAACTAGATGGTGATAGTGTATACCTTTAAATACCCAGTACTTGGGAGTCAGGGGCAGGTGGATCTCTGAGTTTGAGGACAGCCTGGTCTATAGAGCAAGTTCCAGGACAGTCCGGGCTACACTGAGAAACCCTATCTCAAAAAAAAAAAAGAAAAGATACTAGATACATAATTTGAGCTAACAATGAAGGGATTTAATTTTTTTTCTCATTCCCATGAGCTCCTTTTCATACAAATGTTTTCCCAGCATTACTTTACACAAGGGAAACAGAGTTCCTGTTGTCAGTTTCATTGGATGTCCAACTCTGAAAGAACAAGCCTTGTGGTATTGTCTTTTCTTGAGATAAGTATCAGCTGGTTGATGTCACCTCTTTAAAGCTGTGAGCCCTAGCCATGTGAGACCCCACCCATACCCTTCTAGTGCCTCATTATATAGTCCAGGCTGGCCTAGAACTAATGATCTTACTAAAGCTACCTCCCTTCTAAGTCTTGTTATCACAAGTATGTTCCTTTTACTTTTATATAATTCTGATTTCATCCTTTGTTACTGATAAGTGATGCTAGGCAGGAAGAAAGAAAAAGAAAAGGTCCTCTGTAGCATCTACTTTCCAGGAGCTATTTTAGATATTACAACATATTGGCTCACTCCTGTGATAAAATGGCATGGTCAGTGGTCAGTAATTGCCTGGTAGTTAAGGAATTTAATTTTTTTTCGATAGGGCTCACTATGTAGCCATGGATGGTCTGAAAATCATGAGATTGACCAGGCTGTATTTGAACTCATAGAGATTATAATAGAAAAATCTCTAAGATGCTTGCCATTCATTTTCAAGCACTGGCTTTCTATGTGCATACAAAACATTGAGGGATAATAATCCATAAGCTGCTTGTAAATTGCAACGTTAAAGGTGAACCACTGAGAGGTAGGATCTTTAAACTGTTCCAAAGCTAATAAAACCAAAAGGTAAGCAGACAGCAATAAATGTTATTTATTCCTTCTTTTCCCAAGGCTAACAAAACTAAAAGGTAAACTGGCAATAAATGCAGGTAGTTACTATTATTTTAGAAATATCCTGAATTCTAGGTCACCCAAAGCAACTCTTACCTGACTATAAGGTTAACCCAAGTGATATTAAAGTTAAACATTTTCTCCTTGGTTGGCTCCAAAGGTCGGAGCTCTGCCTTCATGCCCAAAGCCCATGTCATCTTGAAAGGGTAGTAGTTTTGTGCCCCTTCAATAAAAACTACAGAGAACAAAGTTCTTTGGGAAGTTTGTCCCTTGCACCTGCTGTCTTGGCTTACATGTATTTAAAAAGAAATTAGAGACTGGCAAGGAAACAAATTTATCAAACATTTGAGCAAATCCCATAGCAAGGAAGACTCCCTAATTTCCTCCACTCTTTCTGTAGCATTATTGTAGTTTTGTAGAATGAAACAAAAGCCAGGAGATGTGCATGTGTTAACTGTGAGATAAACTTTCAGAGCTTTGCAAAATCTCTTCATCAATGGGTGCCAGTGCCTTTTAGTCTTAATCTCTCAGCTTGGGTCTCTTGGGGATCCTTGTTTTCAAAGCAGAAAAGAAGGGGACACATCTCTAATATATTCTAGTCAACCAGGGCTTCATCATAAGGTGATGTTGTAAGTGACCCTGGACGCTGTTTGTCCTCTGTAGTGTGTCCCCCTTGTGCTCTTTCAAAAGTGTAGCTTTCTTCTTTTCCTCTTTCCAGCTCCTTTTGGCAGCTGTTGAGATCTCCAGCTTGTTTTGCTCTGTGTTTTTTTTTTTTTCTCATTGACTCCAATAAATTGTCCTTGAGTTCTTTCTGTGTCTTTAAAAATTCTTAGCCTCCAAAGGGGACTCTGTACCCCTCACTCCCATGACATTACTGCCCTTGCCCAGCTGCTTTCTACAGTTGCCACCTCCCTCATATCCTAGATATTATCTTCTGTCTGTGTGGTTAGCAATTTCATAGCCAGTAAATTATTTGAAGTAAGTTCTCTGTGTTAAAATAACTGATATGGTTTCTGTGTCCTGATTGAGTTCTAACTGATGCAGAAGTTTATCAGTTTTATCAAGTATTAGACTTTTCCTGCTCTAAGTTGTATGCATTACAAGGTGTGAGAAAGTTTCCATTTTCCAGTCATCATCACTTATTACCATCCTCTAAATTACAAGTTTTCTCATTTACATGTCTACATATAAACATGCATAGATAGTTCCAAATAGAATGATGTGATATGATAATGTGTGCACAAACTATTTTCAAAATTGTGTGTGTGTGTGTGTGTGTGTGTGTGTGTGTGTATGAGTGAGTGGGTGCATATGTCATAAAACTCATGTAGAAATCAGGACAACTTTGTAGAGTCTGTGCTCTCCTTCCACTTGTATGTATATTCTGGGAATTGTACTCAGGCTGCCAGGCTTGTACAGCAAGCACTTTTACCTGCTGAGCCATGTCACTGACCCATACAATAATTTCTATGTTGAGAAATATTCCTTTGGTTTTACATACAGAATCACCCTCTTCATCCTTTTTAATCTTTTCTACATTTCACTCAGAATCATTTTCCTCTTGAAAGATTATTATACAGACTTTCCTTTCATATAGAAACTGTCATGAGTGCAACAACAGAAACACAGACCATTTGTGTCTTTCTACCATGCCAGAGTTTGAGTCATAATAAATTCACAAGAATATATATGGTGCTGTTTGCTAGATTAATCTCAATTTCTTAATTTTTCTTGATGCTGGCAAACAAACATAGCTTCTTTATTCTGATTTTAATTAATATTAACTCTTAGAGCACACAATGGATGGTTGGATAGATGTAGGTAGGTAAATAGATAGGTAGATGGATAGATAGGTAGATAGGTAGGTAGGCGATTAGATAGATTGTGTATAGGTTACACAATGACTACAGAAACGAGAGATTGATTATGTATAGGTAATAGAATGGCTACAGAAAGGTTGAGAGATTGATTGATGATTGCTTGTGTGTATAGCTTATAGAATGGCTGCACAGAGAACCCCCCACAAATATATTGGCTAACTTATGAGACATTAAAACATGTGGTAAGTGACTTATTACAATCATGTGCAGGGTTTCTCTGTGTGGCCTTGGTTGTCTTTGATTTGCTCTGTAGCCCAGGCTGGCTTTGAACTCATACCTGCCTCTGCCTCCCTGAGTACTGGGATTAAAGACATGTGCCACCATACCCAGCTGCCAAATACACTTTTTAAAAGGACATATTATGGCTGCATATGGGAATTTAGTTGTCCAAAATTCTAGTGGAACAAAATTATGTTATGCGGGTTCCATGGTCCATAATGATTATAAGCATGATTTCTAATCTTTTTTTTTTTTTTTTTTTTTTTTTTAGATTGGGGTTTCTTTGTGTAGCCTTGGGATGTTCTGGAACTCACTCTGTAGGCCAGGCTGGCCTCAAACTCATAGATATCAACCTGCCTCTGCCTCCCATGAGCTGAGATTAAAGGTGTGCACCACCACCACCTGGCTTGATTTCTAATCTTAATTGGGCATTAGGTGTTGAATAATGTAGGTTTTGCTAGTATGGGAATAATCTTAGATGTTTTTAGGGACTGTTCTTGCTCCTTTGCTTAAAGGAAGACCTGTCACTTCCTTATAATTTTATATATAGGCCTTAGTTTGATGTTTCAATGAGGTTTGTGTTGTTTTCAGTACTGAAATAGTCCTATAAATTTTGGTGCTTTCTGTTTAGATATATCTTGTTATAAAAATGAAAATTCCAACCAGTTTATGGCTCAGGAGGAAAAGGCCTGCTAGCTCAGCTGGCATCCCAGGAGGAGAAAGCCAAAAGCTCAAGGCCAAAGATTTAAAGAGGCAAAGTCAAGGTGCTCAAGAGCTCAAGAGCTAGAGAGCTAACGCTCAGGAACTAAAGTGCTAAAGTGCCAAAGACCTAAAGCTAATGAGCTGAAGAGCTAATGTGCCCTTCTTCTCTCAACTGTCTTAAAAACTCTAAGTCCCTCCTACTACTTAATCCCTGTCAGTTGGTTTCTTGCTCCACCTCTTGACCTAGGGTTAACTTTACTAAATCTTGTATA